GTTTCTCTCAAGTTTTACGAAAACACTGGACAGCATATCGACTCCAATAAGTTAATACTTACGAGCACGAGACGGCGCGCAGTTCACGGTCTATATGGCAGCGTGCGAGGATCGCACCGCTTTTCCTTCAGACGTAGTATTATTTTTGAATCCACTATAGTAGCTAAGATACAATAGTGATGCATTGACCTTGTGTAACAAACTATTAGACAGGTTGAAGAGCTTCTTCTGTCAATACTTACATTAAAGGATAGATTCCAGCAAGACTAATGTAAGAGTAATTATTGTAGAACTGGTATTTTTACCAAATCTTAGGTTTGACATAAATCAAAAGATTTGCAAAATGTTCTTCAAGGTTTGGCAAATTTGATGTTAGTTCTCCAAATTTGAGATGACCGCATCCTAGCTTCATCGGGCGCAGGACCGTTTCATGAACTGTTCAACATATCGGCCAGTCCGGCTGATGGGCCAAACTCTAAAGATCTTTGAAAGAGTACTTGATGCGTGAATTTGAGCAATCATAGAGTTGTTATCCAATTAGTGCGAGCTCAAAAGGTGCCAGTACTGCTGACGCTATCTACTGTATGGATAGTGATGGAAAAGTATAGAGAAAAATAAGGGAGTAACATCGGGTTTCCCTGGATATGGAGAAAACTTTCGACAAGGTACACCATGATGTAATATGTTAGGCACTGCGAAAGCACATGGTTCCAGTAGTACACATGCAAGAGATAACAATGATCTATCACGGAGCCACAAGTCTTACGCTGCGGTAGGGTAGTCACCGTTATAAAGGTCGACGTACAACAAGATCGATGCTCTCCCCTCCGCTCTTCATCACTGTCATGGACGAATTGACGGAAGGTCTTAAGCAACAGCCTCCATGGGCTCTCCTGTATGCAGATGGTGTGGTGCTAATGGCAGCAAACAGAAAAGAACTTGAAGAAGAGGTGCAGAGATGGAAGGACGAACTAGGGTCGCACGGCTTGAAGCTCAACACAAAGAAGTACATATTATAGGAGGGAGGTCAAGCTTTGGAACACATCAATGATGAGCCTATCAAGAAGACCAGTACGTTCAAGTACCTAGGAAGTCGCATCTCTGGTGAAGGAGAACTTTAAGAGGAGTTATCGGCAGGACAAATGCGGCTCGGATGAAATGGAGGACCTTTACTCGACTTCTATATGACCAGCGAACGCCAGTGCAATAAATTCCGAATATATCGTATTGTGATCCGTCCAACAGCTATGGTAGTGAATGTTGGCCAAGTACACGAAATGAGGAACACAAGCTTAGTGTCATGGAGAAAGAATGATACGGTGAACATGGGTATCACCTTGCTGGATCACATCTGTAATGACACAATTCAGGCTAGCATGAATTTTGCTCCCATCACCAAAAAGCTGCAGGAAAAACGACTGCGATGATAGGTAGTGAGCCGAAGAGGTGAGACCTACATCACAAGAATGGCGTTGTCTC